ATTTTCTATCACCCATCCCTCAGCATTCCCTAAAGTCTGATGCACCTCTCACCTCTCACAGAAACCAGTACTATTTCCTGTGGAAGTCCTTTCAACATGTTTTCCTATTCTAAGTTCAGCTTCTCAAGGTCCAAGTCCCAGATAAAGAAAGGGAACAATCAAAATTAATGTCGAGTTGGACATTCATCTCCCAGGACCAATAGTTGTGCTAATGGAATATGCAATTTAAATTCATATTTAGAAAAACAATGACAGTTTTCTAAAGGATACAGAATCTTCAGTGATCAACTGTGTTCACAGTATAGATGAGCTTGCATATTACTGTTCAAGGATGTTTAGTTTTTGGAATTTTATTTTCTATTATATATGCCAGAGCAAAACCTTTACTTTATCATAAAAACAAGAGCAGTCTGCACAAAGGTAAAATATATCTCTGTAGAGTATGATAATTTTTTGACTTTTCAAATGTCATATTTTCTCTCTTATAACCATTGAGATTTTTAAAAATTCTTGGAGTTCCTTATGGAAAGGAGTTAGTGTTACTTTAGCAACTGAAGTCCAGGGTGAGATGCGGAGTGGGAGGGAAGTCAAGGACAGGCAGAGGGTTCAGGAGGAGACAAGTACATAAGGGCAGGCATGGAGCTATCAAAAGTGAGACTTAGAATGGATACAGAAGCAGGTGGCATATCTAAAGAATGCAGAGTGCCAAGTTAGCAGAGAGCTGGGACACTAAAAAGGGTAAATCAAATGCCACAATGAGGACCAATGTATGTATGAGGAAATTACTGATGCCTGTAAAGTGTAGTTTCAGTAAAGAGAAAAAAGCTACTTGCCATATTATGGTAGTTTAAGAAATAAGTGGGGAATATCTTTGTGAAGTAATTAGTATTGATGAGTTTTCAAGAATTTACTAGTAGACAAAAGAGCAGAAATAGAGCAATCTATTAATAGGGACAGATGCTCAAAGAAGTCTTTTCTTATTGTGCTTCATGTTGGTTGTAGAATGAAAGGCTGCAATCTGCAGCCTAGAAACAAAGTTTAAAAAAATCTAGAATAAAAAGGGGAAAAAAGTTCATAGATTAGATAAAAGTATCCTTGGGAAGCTATTTAGGAAAATGAAAAATGGTCATAGGTAGGAAATACAGATGAAGATGGTGCTAACTAGTGCTCAGCCAAGGGTCTTTAAATAACAAACACAGGTAGCACCCAAAATAGGAAAGGTCAGTTAGTGTTTCACTTCTCAGCATGTAAAAGTGCTACTGTAATTATGGCCCATGTATGAGCAATGGGTTGCAAAACTCAGAGATCCATGTGAAATGGAGAATGAACTCATTGTATGTAGTCACTACAACCTGCCCATCATGATGGCATTAACTCAGGCATGCTCCTTTGACATTTAGAGTCAGAGTATGAAAGAGAAAATGGAGAAGAACTGCATTAATGAACAGTATTTAGGAATATTTCAATTTTAAATGATTGGAAACTGAACCAAGCCAGCTTCAACTGAATGATTAATTTAGTGGTTCTTACTGCTGCCTATAGACATTGGTTGATTCAGGGCACAGATGATGTCAACAGATCAACCTTTCTGTTTTGCTTGCTCTGGACGGTTCTCCTCTGATGCTTTGAATTATAGGAAGGTGGTGGCAATATTTCCAAGCTTCATACCCTCAACCTGTCAAATCCAGCAGGAATAGAAAGGTTTTCTTTCCCACAGGATCCAACAGACATATTCTTAGGTTTCATTGCCTCTAGTTAGGTAATATGCTTATCCTTCAAACAATCATTGTGTCCTGGAGAACTGGATACACGAGTTCAGGAGTCAAGCATCCCATGAGACACATAGGAGGTCAGTTCTATTTAAATCACTTGCCTACACATTGAGAATGGAGGAGAGAGCTTTCCTCAAAAACAACAACTATGTCCTTTTTACTGTGAAAATCAAATGTTTATGTCAGTACAAACAAGGAGGCCTGGATCAGGGTTTGTGGGGCATGTTGAGAAAAGCCCTTGATTGGCAGGTCAGCAGCTCCTGCCTGGCTTCATTCCTGATCCTAATTAGCTTCTAGGCAAAAGATTTTTCTTTTCTCTCTAGTCATTGCTTTTCTAACATGGAAGATGAAATCTCAAGCCCTTTCTGTTCTGCAGTCCTATAGTCTTTCCTGTGGTTGAAAGTCCCTTGCTCAGACTGAACTATCCTGGCCACCAGGAGGTTGGCAAGGGAAAGCTGCTTATTATTTGCTCATTGGAGGAGCATTTAAAATATGGGCTCTTATATTTTTTAGATTGTTTTTACTTGGAGAAGCCCCTAAGAAAATCAGTTTGAGAGAAATGTGCTAAGACATTGCTGGAACTCTGTGAATCCTTAAAAAAGCAAATTATAAATTTTACAAATTCTATGCTTGTGGTGTTAGTTGTGGGGAGGGACTGCTGTTTGGAGTGCTGTGTGTATAGGCTCTTCTCACCCTGTAGATGGAGTAGGAAACCAGGCTTAGGAAAAGTCACATTACTTTTGATTGGGTTTATATGTTCTGTATCATATAGATGTGGTATGTTATTTCCTACAAAATTTCAGAAAAATATCATTAAGGACAAAAAAATCCATATATTAATCTCACTACTGTGGTATTTTTGAGTCAGTAAAATATAAATGAATGTTTTCTGGATTTGAAAAATGTTATTTTAAATACTATTCTTTTCTATGGTGACATTAACAATGAAAATTGTTTGATAGTTATATCTAAGGCAACATATTATGCAATTTGCCAATATTACTGCATGTAATTCTCAAAAAAAGTCTATGAATGAGATATTCATAACTGTAAAGTTAATAAATGCAAGGCATAAAGAAAGAAAGTAACTTGCTTAGGATCATGTAATTATTAAATGTCCAAGACAAGTTCAAATTCAAATGCAATATGCCCAACATTCATTTTTGTTTTCTTCATTGTCAACAAAACCTACTCTTTAAAAAAATGAAAAAAAAAATCTATCTTCTTTTGAGAGTCCAACCTCAGCACCAGACCCAGGATGGGTGAATACTAATTGATTTAAACCAGTTACCAGTCTCGAGTTTCCCAGCCAGTGAGTTTAGACATTCACATGTGATACAATTTGGACAATTAGAATTGTCTCCAGGAAAGACTGATAGGGTTATTGCCAGAAGGTTTCTTCTCCATAGAAAAGGATGTTGTTTGTGAGAGTATGATGCTTGAAATTGATATAGCCATCTTGCTAAAAGCATAAAGCCAAACCTAATATTAAGCTTGATGATGCAGAAAGATGAAGGAAACCTGAGTCCTTGAAAATGTTGTTGGACTGCTGATTTTAAAATTCCCTTACTGAAGTCAATCTACCTTTAGGTTTTTTTCTTAAGGAAAATAACAGAATTTCTCTGTTAAGCCACTTTGACTTAGGTTTAGTGTCATTTGTCATTGAGAGCATTCTTCTGGCCATGTAGGTCTGCCTTATTCCAAACCCTTTAAACCCATGTTCTTAATTTCTAATTGCTCCAGGAAGTCAGTTTATCCTAATAATAAATCAGTACACAAATGTTTGGTTTCTAGAATAGCCACTTAAAATTCATAATTTATTTTTTCATAAAACAAGGTAAGAAGTTGATTAGATTTCCAAGGTAGCCCACAAACCACATTGACCCCATGGCACAGCCAAATAACACCAATGGTACTTGAGCAAGTATCAAGTACTGGAAATCAGATACCTAAGGTTTGTTTCTCATTAGGTGAAAGAGAATTTCCTCATTCTTTTCCACATTCCATCAGCAAGCCTAGTTCCAAGATATGTGCTGCCTCTGTCAGCCCTCCATCTTTTCTCTCATCTCCCCATTAGTCTCATCTGAGTCAGCCCTATGTGTGAGGCTGTCTCCGGCCTCTGTCTAGACCACCAGTCAGTTTTTCACTGGCATCCTGCTGTCCTACAGGTCCACCTAGGAGTGGGATAGGGCTCTCAGCTCCCTTCCTGGAAATTTATCTGGATGTGTTATTGCCCTCCTCATGGTTTTCTTGGTTTGGAGGTCAGACAGGATTCAGTGTCCCTTCCTCGATTTCTCCTGCTTCCCTTTCTGACCTCTTTTCATTAACCTAGGGAATCTCTGGATGATCACTAGGTTGGAAACTTTGCTTTGACTGATTCATAGTCTGATGTTTTCTTTGCCTGGGCCTTTCCTCTTTTAATTAGACCTAGATTTTGAAACTCAAAAGCAAGAGTAGGGCTCTTCTTATCCTTCAGGTAATGGTGTGTCATATATAGTCATATATAACTTGAATTGGTGAATGAAATCATGCTCAATATATAGACATAGGGGCATAGGGTAACAGGAATATTTTTAAAAATTATTTTTTGATATCATCTTTTCAGAATGAAGCAGAACCTGATGGAAAATGTTAACATATGTAACAGTTGCATCAAAAGAAACAAACAAAAGTGGCATTATTCCTCATCTGGAATAAATACCTAGCTACTAATTTAATACCTAACCCTGCAAATATCTTAATATTTTGAAAATATATAAGACTGGAGATTCTGCCTATTTTATACTTTTATACATTTATTCAATAAATATTTATGAAATATTCTTCATATACACTGATACTTATTTTACTATTCTCTTTAGCTACTGTTAACTCCTTGCCATTATCATCTCTACTAGTTTGGCCTCATGGGCCTAAAAAGAAAGATATTCCTTATCTTCCCTCATGTTTCTGCCTTTGGAAGATATTTCATGGCTTTCTGGCACTCATTTTTCACACCTGCACAGTGAGAAATTGACTTTTGTATTTTGAAATCAAGTGTCATATAGATAATTCCTATTTGTCAACATCAATATAAAGGATTCTACAATGAAGATGCTTTCACAGGTATTCTTCCACGTGTCTATTCCCATGTCATTCACCAAAACTGTCCTCACTCACAGTAAAATAATGGACACATGAAATAAGTAGTGCCGCTATGTTAACATCATAGAAGAGAATTAAATCATATTTTCTGAGCAGAGAGATTTTTATTAATTGTCAAGCTGTGAATGGAGAAACAGGGCTGTTCTCAAATGATAGTGTTCATCAGAATCACCTAGAAGGCTTGATAAAACAGTGTGCTGGGCTCCACTCTCAGAATTTCTGATTCAGTATATCTTCATTGATGCCCTTGAATTTCCATTTCTAACAAGGTCCCAGGGACACACTTGGAGAATACTCTTCTAGAAGATGTCACAATGAGGCTACAAAGGAGAGATACAGAGAGAACATTAGAACTTTGATGGTTACAAATTTAATGCGTTATCATGAGTGTGGCTCAGTATTTCCCCAAGTGGTGTAAAAGATGATATTGGGCTGAAATGTCTTCCCTACCCTTCAGAAAATTCTTTCATGAACAGGGATATTGAGCAAGGGCTACTATATTGGAGATTAGCTGTGCCTCACAGCAAGTTTTGGGGACAGGGGAGGCTGGTCCTGTCCTTTGTTCTGCGGTACAGTCACCTCTTACAGGTCTGTGTGCAGTCTCCACAGTCTCTCTTATGCAAGTAATCCACATTAAAAAAAAAACAAAACAAAACCAGAGAAAACATTGATCAGATTTATCAAATTGACAGAAAAAGGAAAGAAACTTCTTTAAAAAATAAAGTTATTAAAATAAATTTGTAAGTCTGCCATCTTAAACCGTTTTTGAAACAAGAAAGGGAATAAATGATAAATAAACATGCTTTGGTGGTGGCCTGGTAGAATATATTTTAATGTGCTTCACATTCAGGAAGTACATTACTGATAACAGATATGGCATTTCAAATGTATTCTCTCTTTTATACATTAAATTTATTGTACTTCAAAGTACCCTGAAATTTTGCCAGCAGATATATTTCTCTGTGAGAATATGATTGAAATATCAGCTTTGGAAATAAATCTAAACTTCCCTCTTCCAAAATTCCCTGTTGAACAAAACTCCACTATGATTTTTTTATACATTTATTTTATTTGTTTATTTTTATGTGGTGCTGGGGTTTGAACCCAGTGTCTCATGCATGCTAGGCAAGAGCTCTACCACTGAGCCACAACCCCAGTCCCTCCACTGTGATTTTTAAAAATTAATTATTTATAAGTCTGAATTTCCAGGGAGAAATGAGACAGAGAATAATAATTGTTGGTATCATTATCGACTGAACATGAAGGTAGCCTGGATAATTTGTAGAAAAAACATGCATTTGAGGTGCAAAACCCCTCAGTTACAGTTCCAGACTCCAAAATCAGACAGACATCAGCTCAAAAATCCAATATGGCTTCTCCTGTGAGCAAATCATTTAAGTGGCTGAACCTCGAATTACTTATCAGTAAAATAGATGTAATGATAATTAATATTTACATCTTCCTCATGGTGCTCATGACATTAAATGAGTGAAAGTTTGCCTCCTTTCCTGCTTCATGGTATAAGTAATAAAGTTAGCTGGGGTCATTATCCGTATATGTCCTCAGATCATTTGAAGCCTGGTTGAAGTGCTGGTATTATCGTAGGGTGTTTTTTTCTCTTTTGGGGTACAGCTCAGAACACAGATACGTTAATAAAAGAAATAACAATGGATTCCCCTGTGAGGGAACCACTTTTGCAAAAAATCTTTCATCGTTCATACTGCAGACAGACAAACCTTTCAATTCCCCCAGCTATGTTGGAGAGGCTCCACAAGGAGGCTGCTTGCAGTATATAAGTTCAGTTTCAGCCTTAACCCTGGGTCAGTAGTGATGCTTCCCTGAACTGCACAACCCTACTCAGGATGCCCAACAATGGCCCTGTTTTGGTGCATTCCTCCCAGAGGTAGATAGGGCTCCAAAATCAGCAACCTAAAACTGATGTCCTTCTCCCCTTCTAGTTAACAGGATCTTGAAATTTCCTGCCCTGTTCAAGGTGCTCCTCTACCATATTTTGTACACTGGGTACCTGGAATTGCCTATTTAAAGGTCTTTAAGCCAGGCTCCTAAGTCTAAGTGAGCTTCCTTCTTAGGTCTTTCTTTGAAGAGGTCCTGGGTACTACTGTTTGCATTTCAGCATCCCAAAGAGCAGTCAGAATGCAGCTACTTGGAAGACTAGGCAGATTGATGGAAAATGCACGTGGAGGCTGTGGTGGCCACCTGCTTCTGTGTGAGTGCTATAAAGTGAGGGCCTGAGATGTAGACAGGTGCAGTAGGATAACCAAAACCAGCTGGCCTAACCCTATCATCCAAGGAGTTGAGAACTTCTAATTCAAACCCAATGTATTAGCCTTTTATGAAACTTATTTAAAGGTAGGATAGGGTATGTAGTAGCTTATTCACCCGATAACAACTTTAAAATATTAATTGTGAAGTATTTGGAAGAAATATGCTCTACCCTGGGTCCATCAAATGGAACTGAATTAGCTTATTTAAATGTATCCTTTATATGAATAATATGACCGAAAAAGAAAATTTTGAACTAGAGAAGTCAGTTTCTCCTAACCATATCTAGCACTTGAAACTTGATAATAAGTAAAATTGTGGACACTAATTGCCTGGAATAACTGTGTGGCTGCTTGGGTGTAACTATTTTCCAAGAGTCCACTGTAGACAGAAATATTTTCACTGACACCAAATTGTAAGAGTCAAAATCCCATGACCTCTCCTTCCATGGCCGCCTCCTCCTTTACTTCCCTTTCCCTGCAAGCTTTCTAGTTCAAAATATAAGCCCTTTGGGAGATATGTCATCTGATTTCAAGAAAAATTTTGGAATATAAATAGCTCCTAAGGATCAGTTGATCACTGATCAGATGTGGAGCCAGTTTTCACAGTGCTCTGGTCCCCCTTCAACACACAGCCTGCTCTAGGAACCTCTCAATTATGCTTTATTGACTCCATTGGGATTGAGAAAAATAGAGAAAGCATTTTTTTTCAGAGATCAACAGTGATACATTTTATGTATATACTTTTTATCATTTCTTTCTACATCATGCACTGTAAGAATTCCTAGGAAAATCCATCAATGATTCTGTTTTCATGTTTTCTTAAACACAGTCTCCATTTCCTAGGGGTAAAGAATTATGCTCACTCTGCCTTCTAACAGTAGAATGAAGAGCAATCAAACTGTTGGATATTTGAAAAGCAAAATTAATTATAACATTTGAGGTCCCATTTTATCAACTTACTTACATAAATCCCAGAGATAAAATTAAGACAAAATAGTCTTAGATATTTCAGTGGCATCATCTTATGTAAATATCCCAATATTTCAACTCATCTTAAACAATTGTACAGGAAAAATTGCAGATGATAATTCTGTCTATAAAATGTCCACATTACATTCTAGTTCTCTTTCCTGCCCTGTGCAGCTTGATCAAAGGATACTTGAAGGGCCCATGTGATGCTAAGAAATAGGAAGACAGAGTACAAAGCAGGTGCCAGAGAGAGAGAACACAAAATAAGAGAAAGATGGAGGGGAGAAAGGTGTGCCATTAAGTGTATCAATTTAGTTTTTAAAAATTGTTTCAATTTAGATGTTATCCATCTTTCAACCTTTTTTTTAAATCTCCAAACTGGAATAATGATCTTGAGTCTGCTACCACTTATTAATATGTTCATTAGGCATTTCTTAGCATACTCTATTTGATAAATGAGCATAAAAGTATTTGACAGAAATACTGGATTCCTTGGCTAGCAGCACAAAAATAATGCAATTATTTTAAAATTCCTTAATGAAAAATATTGTAAAACAAATTCTTTTCCACATAAAATGTATGGGAAGCAAATAAGCTTTCAGTAGACTCTATGCTTCTAATCTTGAATTTTGATCTTCTCCTTGGCTAATGATGTGCAGTACATGAAGCCTGGGCAGCAGCAATAAGCTGCAGCTCCCAGTCAGTCATATACTCACAAGAGTGAAAAACTGATACTCTGGCTAAGTTAGAATATTTGGTAGATTAAATGCATTTCCAACTTAGGATATTTTCAACTTACAACAAGTTGATGTTTACTCTACCGTAAATCAATGAGCATCTACCTATATGTATCTCCCTCTACAACTTGTTTTTTAAAAAAGATTATACAGTTACTATTCAAGGAGAAATTAACCTAGCAGCACTGAGAAAGGTGACAACATAAATTTCTCCCTTAACTGCTTCTTGTAAATCAAATGACACAAGACTCCAGACTAAAACTTCTACCATTTCCATTCTCACGCCACTCCCCAAGGGGTAATCACCTATCATAGTTGAGGATAAATATTTCTAGATATTTTCTAGTTATTTGATGGGAATATAACCATTGTGTGCTCTGTGCCTTGCACTATTTTGAATGTGGACAATATAACAGTGCACAAAAACAGACCAGCTCTCTGCTCCCAAGGTCTTTATAGTCTAGTCCACAGACTGTGATCACTAAATGAATAAACAAACCAGGACACATGGTATGACATCAAGTAGTGAAAGTGCTGACAGCAGGACAAAGAGATGGAATTAAGGTACTTACCATGGTGGTTTGATAGATGACCAGGGAAGCCCTCTCCACCCAAATCCAGTGAGGAAATGACTCATACCAGAATCTTGAGCAGAAAGAAAAGAGAGTGCAAAGACCCAGAAACAGAAGCAAACTTGGCAGCTTTGCCTACACCAAGGAGGTCAGAGTTGATGGAAAAAAAATGACCAACAGGGAACTTGTTATGAGATGAAATTGGAGACTTTACTTGAGATGACATATGTAGGACTTTATGAAGTAGACATTGACATGATCTATCTTAAACCTTTAGTGTGATGGCACACACCTGTAATTTCAGCAACTCGGGAAGCTGAGGCAAGAGAAGCTCAAGGTCAAATCCAGCCTTAGCAATTTAGTAAGACCTCAATCAACTTAGCAAGACCCCGTCTCAAAATAAAAATGAAAAGGGCTGGGTATGTGGCTCAGTGGTTAGGTGCCCTTGGATTAAATCCCCAGTACCCCAAAAAAGGAAAAAAAAATCCTTCTGGCTAAGGAGGGAACATGAGACTGAACTATGTCAGAAGAAAGAGCTAGGAGGCCAGTTAGGAGACACTGCAGCAGGCCAGGCAAGAGATGCAGTTGGCTTCACCACTGATTCTTGTTGCTGGTGGGGATGCGAGATGGTACAGCCTCTTTGGAAGACAGATTTGGCAGAATTTTATAAAACTAAGCAAAGCTATTGTGTTCCTTTGTATTTACTCAAATGAAGTGAAAAATCTGCTGTGAATGTTTGTAGTTTTATTCACAATTGCCGAAACTTGGAAGCCAGTAAGATGACCTTCAATACTAGAAAACATTTTTTAAAATGTAGTTTATCCATATTATAAAAACTAGTTCTTGTGCAGCAATAAAAAGAAATGAATTATCAAGCCATAAAAAAGACATGGAAAAAACTTGAATGCATATTCCTAAGTGATAAGCCAATTGACAAAGGTGTAGTTTTTTACCATATGATGATTCCAGGTATAAGACAAACTGAGAAAAGAAAAACTATGTAGACAGTAAAGAGATCAGTGGTTTCCAGGGACATGGAAAAAGGGGCTAGAAGGAGTAAGGAATACAGGGAACAGAGGGCATTTTTTAGGGTAGTGAAATTATCCTGTTTGATATTATAATGGTAGATACTTCATTATACATTTGTCGAAACCCACAGAATGTACAACACAGTGAGCCTTAATGGAAAGTATTGATTTTAATTGACAATCATATATAAATATTGGCTAATCAATTAAAACAAATGCACCACCAAAACACAATAGGCCCCAAATAGAGAAAATTGTGGAGGTGGGGGTGGACCTGAGATAGATGAGAACTCTGAATTTTCAATTCATTATTTTTTTGTGAACCCGAATCTGCTCTAAAAAAAAAAAAAAAAAAAAAAAAAAAAACTATGAATTTTTTTAAATAAAGAAAGTGCCCAAGATTGTGGTTCTCAGGAAGAGCAGAACACAGAGTTCTTTAGAGAATAACACTCATTCTGAAAGAAAAACAAAAACAAAAACAAAATAAGAAACTCCTTGTCCAGAATAAAAAGGTCACAGTTGGCTGGCTATAAAGACTTGCCCAATTTCACATACCAGAGTAGCAGAGATGGGTGCATAAATGGTTGGAGATACTTAGAGGCCATTTTGCAACTGTGCTATAGAACAGAGAAGGATCTTTGAGGAGCACACTTGTGGCTACCCATTTTTTGCCAGCCGAAGAGAAAGAAAAAGACTTCTAGTACACCATGACCCACATCCTGACACACCCAGGTTTCCTTCTTGTCTGCTGTATGTGTTTTCCCAGTCCTTCCCTTCAGACTTTTGATTCAGTAAAATATATTCAGTAAAAAATATTGCTTACCCTAAGATAAGCAATAATAAATTTTAAAAATAAATTGAAAATGTACCAACACAGAATCCATACAAAAATTCTATAAAATCAAAGTGAAAAAGAATCGGAAAACCATGAACAAAGAACCATGGCAGAAGAATAAAGGTATTTCCAAATGCTCACTGTAAATTTAAGAACAATGAAATGACCATTTCTGTACCAAAAAAAAAAATAACAAAATTAATACCAAGAAATAAATAATGTAATACAAGGAGGAAAAATAAAAAAAGGTGGGTATGCATAGCCCAGTAAGCAAGGGAAAAGTAAGACTCTTCAGCAGAGAAAGAAAGCCACTCTTTAAGCTACAAATTTAGGAAAGTAAAGTGCTTTACAAATGAAACACTTTAAATGTAAATGAGTATAAATTTTCAAAATAGTTCCTAATTGTCTTCTGTATTTCAATAGTGTCTGTCATGATATTTTCTTTTTCATCATGAATTTTAGTAATTTGAGTTTTCTTTCTCCTTCTTTTCCTTAGGGTGGTTAAGGGTTTGTCAATTTTATTTATTTTTTCATAAAACTAGCTTTTTGTTTTGTCAATTTTTTGGATTGTTTCTTTTGTTTCAATTTCATTGATTTCTGCCCTGATTTTAATTATTTTCTGTCTTCTACTACCTTCAGTGTTGATTTGTTCTTCTTTTTCTAGGGCTTTTTAGATGTAATGTCAGGTCGTTTACTGACTTTTTCTTCGTTTAATGAATGAGCTTAATGCAGTGAACTTTCCTCTTAGCACTGCTTCCTAGTGTCCCAGAGATTTTTGATAAGTTGTATCTGAGTCCTGATTTACCTCTCAGAATTTTTTTTTAACTTCTCCCTGATGTCTTCTGTTATCTATGCATCATTCAATAGCTTATTATTTAGTTTCCAGGTGTTGGAGTAGCTTCTATTTTTTATTTTATTATTGATTTCTAATTTCATTCCATTATGGACAGATAGAATGTAGGGTATTATCTCTATTTTTTTTTTTTTTGTATTTGCTAAGACTTGCTTTGTGACATAACATATGGTCTATTTTGAAGAAGGGTCCATGTGCTGCTGAGATGGAATATTCTATATATGTCTATTAAGTCTAAATAATTGATTGTTTTATTGAGTTTCATGGTTTCTTTGTTTAGTTTTTGTTTGTAAGATCTATCCAGTAGGAAGAGAGGTAAAAAACAGGACAAGAGGAAAGACAATATTACTCTAAAAAACAAACAAACAAAAAGGTATAGTGGGAAAATAATAGATATGGAAACTAGATGAAAGAGACCCCTGATAGACATAACCTATTTCCCTGAAGAAGAGAAACAAACAAATAGAACAGGAAAAAAAATGCAACAACAGTAATAAAATACCATTAGGACTTTGACTCATGGTGAAAAGGCATAATGAGTATAGGAAAAATGATGCCTAATATTCACTACCAATTAAGGCCTAGAAAGGTAATGAACTTAGCAAATGAAAGAGCACTTATGTATTGTGCTCAGTTAACTGTAACTCTTCGTGAGCTCAAAACATCATTCTTACAAGTCATTCTATTTTCCCCACAGCATCCACAACGGCCTCTTAGAAACATAAATCACATCACAGCCTGTTTAAGGCGTTACAGACATTCCCTTGCAAATCTGACAAAAATTCTTCAAGGGCTTGATTTTAGCTGATTTTATCTATGTTTGACCCCTGCCATGATCTCCTTTCTTCTGGCTTAGTATTCTCCAGTCACCTTTGGCCTCCTTTCTGTTCCTTAAGCAGCTCAGTACTGATTCTGACTGGGGCCTTTGCATTTTCCTTCTCCTGGAATGTCCTTCTCTCAGACTATCTAACATAGAATTCTTTCTCATTCCTCAGATCTTAACACCTTCTCTGACCATTTATCTAAAGTAGTGTTTCCTCTCATAATTATTTCACCCTGTTCTTTTCTTTTTAATCTTTTTTCTTTAAAATAAACATATGAAGGGGGCCATTCTAAGTTTTCAATTTTTAATCAATGCACAGGTTGACAATAATTTGTCAACCTGATAATTTAGATAATTTAGATAACGGTGTTTGGATTCATAATGACTAAAAAGGCATTGTAGTTTATTGCAAATAAGATTTTTATTGCATTTTAAAAATGGAAATAGGGCTGGGTGTGCCTATTACATGCCTATTATCCCACAGGCTCAGAAGGTTGAGGCAGGAGGATTGCAAGTTCAAAGCCAGCCTCAGCAACTTAGCAAGGCCTAAGCAACTTAGTGAGACCCTGTCTCAAAATAAAAACTATAAAAAATGTCTGAGGATATAATCCCTGGTACCAAAAAAAGAAAAGAAAAATGGAAATAGGGTTTATATGCTCTCTTAAACAGATAGTAATGGAGATAAGCAATTGGTGTCTGATTTATAATTGACACTGGTAGTTACTACACACTGTTCATGAGTGATGGAGAAAGAGAGATTGACTTGAGGAATTGGCTCATGTGATTATTGGGGCTTGAAATTTGCAAGATATCTCAGCAAGCTAGAAATTTCAGCAGGAGTTAATGTTGCAGTATTGAATCCAAAGGCAGTCTTGGAGGCAGAATTCCCTCCTATTCCAGGTACCTCTTTTTTCTTAAGGCCGTCAACTATAGATGAAGTTCACCCACATTTCGAGGGTAATTAATCTGCTTTACTCAGTCCTGATTTAAATATTAATCACATCTTAAAAATATCTTCACAGTAACATCTAGATGAGAATTTGACCAAAGAACTAGATATCATAACCTACCCATGTTGACACATCAACTTAACCATCACAGAAGTGCCTATTAGTCTTCAATATTTGCTTTTTAGTTATACAATAGCATATTCTATGCTTCTCTCTTTGCACACTAACTGCTTTTATTTCCATGCCCACTACTTAATCCATACCACTTTCTTCTCCTGCAATCTCATATATGCTCTTCTTCTCTAAATAAATAACCCGATGCGCTAGGACTGAGAGTTGCCAGACTTTTGAGTAACATACACTGTGAGGACTATTGTTCTCACACACTAATTTTCTCATGTTTGATGATCTGCCTTAGATAATTATGAGTTTTAGGGCATATATTTTTAAGGTCACTAACATCAAATTTGCTGTAGAGGAATTGGCAACAATTTCCTCATGTCTATCATTCTACTCAGATGAGCTGACAAGACAAGGCAGGAGTAGAATGCCTAGAGCATGGTGACATCACAGGGCTACAGCACAATGGTTCCTGTCCCACCTGCCCTGCTCTGTGCTTTATTTGATCACCACATAAGAGACAATAGAAATGCAATGAACTTTAAAGTAATGAATATTTTAAGTCACACAGTAGAGTATCTTCCTGAAATGGGCTGATGA